ATTAATGTAACATAAAAATACTATACATATTTATATATTTTGCTATTGTATTATGGAGTGACACTTTCTTAAACTTTTCTATACCCCTCTGATTATATAATGGTAAATATTACAATATCATAGCACAACAACATGCAGTGATCAGCAATAATGATAAGCCTAATACTCACAATAAAAATAATAAGGTCATATAGATCATAACACAGTCTTGGAGGTAAGAAGTGGATTATCCTTCACCTGAAATTTTGTCTTTTCATCCTGAAATGCGAGGCAAATGTTGGATCACAATAATTAGGAAGCACAGTTTCCACAAATCCCTTCATTTGATTGGGATGTTCTCTTTTATTTTGGAGGGCAAGGGCAGTGACTGTAACATCGAGCGTATTTTGCAGTATTAAACACGTATTTATACCGATTTCATCAGGCTCCAAAAATTCTTCAAAAAGAACACAAAGAATGGCCTTCTCAGCTGCCATAGTTGCAACTCTTGCGTCATCAGAACAGGGTGTTCAACGCATCACCGTTTCCGTTTTGCACCGTTTTTGTCGGGGCTGAACGCAGCCCTGTTTACCACACTGCTTCTCTGAATTACCTGTGAATAAAGACTTTGTTGACATTACCTCTGAGTCTTCTCCTTCTGTGCCTGACACTTGCTTTTATTTATTTGCTATTGTTTACTAGTTATATACTGCTATTCATTTGAAGTGGCTTAATTAAATTAATTATATATATCACTCTCATTGGTTCATTGATAAGCAATTACATATATAATGAATAATTGCATATATACATTTATACATATATCATTATAAAAATGTTTACAATGTATAACGGATAAATAATCCTGAAGCCTATAATATAATATTCATAAAAAATATCATATTATTCGTAAATGAAGTGTTTTGTCATATCAGGTTTTTTTTTTTTTTTTGCCTCACTTGCTGGCTTTATTTTGTATTGTTAACATTCATGGGTAGGACATTTGTGGTCTTTTAATTGAGAGTTAGTTTACGTGGGCCATTTTGAGTAGGCCTACTACGGCGCAAGACAGGAAAGATTATGCGACGTGGCAAGGGTGCAAACCTAAGTTGTGTTTCCTGCCCCTGGAGTGAGGTTAATCAATCAGATGTGTAAGCACAGCTGTTCAAATATTTATTCTAAGCAGGGTACTGACAGCAGAAATGCACACACACACAGAACAGTGGATTAGACCTGTGAGCTTCAGCCATCAGAGGGACAGATAGAGAAAACATCAATAAAAAAGACGTTTTAAAGAAACATTTTTAAAGATATCAGACAACATGATGTATTTTTTATTTTTATCTCTTCTTTTTATTATAATTTTTTTTAAACCATCCCTTTTTTGCTAGCACACTCATTTGTTACCGACATGGATGCCAATGACTAGTAGCATCCTCTGGGTGTCAGCACTTCCCATGTTTTGCATTCCGTCACTGACCCACGGCCTGTGTTTTAATACACATAAGCAGCCAGAAAACAATGCATGAAGTCGAATGTAGGGTGTAATTTAGATGTACCGTCTGACCTTGGTTTCGTAGCAGATACGCAATGGGCAGTGGCGGGTGAGATCTTGTATCGATGAATTCAGATCACTGTCACTTGAGCTGTTATTAGACCTTCTGCTCACTATTGAGGGAAAGTGAAGGTCACTTTGAGGCTTTCGTAAGCCAAGAAGATATTTACTAATGGGCAGAATGATGTATATTCACACACTTATCCTTTGAAAAGCAGGTGCGTGCTGCAGCTGCAATCTGAAAAACGAGCAAAAAGACAAAATGATAGAGGAAGGGCTGATGAATAGAAAGAAACATCCGAGCAGAGGACGAATATGAGAGTTTAAAGATGATATAGTGTCCTCTGCAAAGAGTCTGGATGTAAGGGAGCTATCACCGAACAAGAGAAGCACACTAAATTATTGAAAGCATAATAAAATGTCCTTGGGGACAGAGAAAGAAAACACTATATTATTCTGCCCCCATTTTTCTCCTTCAGCCCATGATTATTGAGCCAAAAAAAAGGTCATACTCCCCCATAGTTTTTCACAGAGAGAAAAAATCTTATCGCCAAATGGAGTATTATTGTTTCCTATCAGGACTTTTTTTCTTATTTGCTTTTCTAAAGATTGTTTGCCTTACGAATATTCTTACCTTACCCTTTCCTTATATGCATTTGTTTTAAATAAGGTTGAAGTCATTCAGCACAGAAGCTGAGAAGTTTAAGACCACTTTTACCACTTACAGTCCGCTGTGGAGCAGGGATTGGCTATGCATGCTGTTTATGCCATGTGTGATTGGTTGATGAAGCCATCTGGCTTGAAGCTGATTGGTGGATGAGATTAATTAGGGCAGCGCGCTGAGAGCCATCCCAGTTCATTTTGCATGCGATTGTCACTTACTGTGCATTTGATTGTATATTCAAGGCCGAGGCATTGAAGATTAGAATCCGTTTTGCTTTATCAGGTGAATGTGTCTGGCACAACATGCAGCAAAGCCAATCTCAGCACCACAAGTAAACAATTTGCCATTAATCGCTCATCCTGCTCAAACAAATAGATATTGATTCTGCTTTTCAGCACTTGCTTGCCGGCAGATTTGTATCAGTGCTGCAAAAAAGGCATAAATTGTTTTTATATCTGGCCTTTATGTGGCATAATGTATTATTAATGCTCATTTTCCAACTCCTAGTTAAGTTAAACAGTTGAGTTTTACTGTTTTCAAATCCATTCAGCCGATCTCCGGGTCTGGCGGTAGCACTTTTAGCTGTAGCTTACCATAGATCATTGAATCTGATTAGACCGTTAGCATCTCGCTCAAAAATGAAATTTTTCTATTTAAAACTTGACTCTTCTGTAGTTCCATCGTGTACTAAGACCGACAGAAAATGAAAAGTTGCAATTTTCTAGGCTGATATGGCTAGGAACTATACTCTCATTCCGGCGTAATAATCAAGGAACTTTGCTGCCGTACCATGGATGCAGCAGGCGGAATGATATTACGCAGCACCTGAAAATAGGCTTATTGGAAGTTACCTAGCTGGGGACTATTTTCAGATGCTGCATAATATCATTGTGCCTGCTGCACCCATGGTACGGCAGCAAAGTTCCTTGATTATTACGCCGGAATGAGAGTATAGTTCCTTAGGTCATTTTTAAGCGAGATGCTAACGGTCTAATCAGATTCAATGATCTATGCTACAGCTAAAAGTGCTACTGCCAGACCTGTAGATCGTCTGAATGGATTTGAAAACAGTAAAACTTAACTGATTAACTCTATGGGAGTTGGAAAATGAGCCTATTTTCAAAAATAGTGGAGTGTTCCTTTAACTCTGCTTTGCATGAGGGATGCTTCGAATGTAACAGTCGGAAAGGTTCAGCTGATGTTAGGGTCAATGGTGTGACACCCATGTTCTTTTTATCTGGGTCTGTTAAGGTATTCAAAAATACCTTAAATATACAATTCATACATTTTATTCATCCGTAACTTGAATGCAGAATTTTTATGATGAACATGCTTTCAATTTCTGAGATAAAATTGTTTGGTGTTTAAATTAAATTGTATGTGCATGTCACCTGCTTTCATCTGCTACTTTTAAAAAATCCTTTAAAAAAAATTATAAGTTGTAAATAAAAATTACTTGAGTACCTTTTAGGAAATATTATTTTGGTCCCTATTCTTCAAAATGTCATGTTTAATTCAATGTGTAATTCAAACTTGATATTTCTATGTACTTATTTGAGAAATTTACTAGCAATTTCTGAGTGAACATTGTTTCAGCGTATAAATTCAATTAATATTCTATTAATGAAATCTACAAAGGCTATAAACTCCTACTGAATGTTAAACATACATAGGTATAATTTTTTTTATATATAATTTGTTTAAAATGGTATAAACTTCATGAGATTCATAATCCTAAAGTTCATGGTAATTGTAATTGTGTTTTAAAAATTATGCTGCTAAATTATAGTGGGTATAGAAAAGAATCACACCCCTTTAAAATAATCACATTTTGTTGTTTTGCAGCCTGAAATTAAGACAGACACAGTTTTTGTTTTATCCAGCTGTATTTACTCAGTGCAACGTATAACTTACATTCAGTTTTTTTTCTGTCATGTAGGTGTTATATCTTTCACTTGGATGAACCGAGACTTGGTGCTTCTTTTAAATAGATTTTTTTCTTTTTTTACTGGTTTGAGCTAGATTTCTTCTTTTATTATCTTTCACATGTAGCTACCATTGACCCCATTACATTGGCCATCTTTACATTGTCTGTATGGACCCTCCCCATGTAATATATGCTAAAACCTTCTGATGGACATTTTAAATATAAGCTGTATCTGATTCTTTTTCACTTTCATTTCAGTTCTCACTTTCCGGGTAGAGTGACACTGAGTGCAGAATTACATACCCTCCCCTGTACAATTGATTTGTGAGTAATTAAACATGTCTGCAGCTGGACGTGGTCCAGCTTCATGTTCTATTCATGCAGATTAATACATATTTGTCGGGGCCTCCGGGATCAGACAGGCAGCAATGTCTGCTATTAAACATTCATGAGGGAGCAGAACACAGGGAATCATATCCTACTGATATTTATGGATCCATTTCTACATCTTAGTGCCATCATAATGGATTATGAAATCAGAACATAATCGCTTAGCAGGGATGGAAATTTAATTTGTGTCACGAAAATTTATTAATAAATGGCTTTTTCTTGGGAATTACACTCACACGGACTGTGCATGCGTCTATGTGTGGGTTTAATACAGGTGGCTGGAGTGGGTGGGGCAACTGGGCGGAGTGCAGCAGTGAATGTGGAGGTGGAGTCCAGACGCGTACACGCACCTGTCAATCACCACCTGAGGAGGCGTACTTGTGCGAGGGTGTTCTGGAAGAAGGTCATCCCTGCAATGCTCAGCCATGCATCGGTAAGTTGCGTTCATGCACGTTTGCACGTGACCGTTCGCACAACCACTTCTTCTCTAGCTTTCGCTCTCTATCACTGTCTGACAACACATTTTGGACATTTTTCACATTTCACTGTAAAAAAAGATGTTCTGCTTCTTGTGTGACACAATGATAATAATGATAATGATAGACTGATGATAGAATGAGCGTTTTTGTGTGCTTTTCATTGGACCCATAGGCTACAGGCAGTATTCCTCTAAAGGCAAGGGTTTAAGTCCAGTGAAATACAAAGGAATGCAAGAAGCCATGCTTGGTAAGGGCGTCACTGACCAAATCAGTTTGAATGTGGCTGTAGTGAGTAGATCTTCACTCAGTTTGGATGGAGGCCATGAGTAAATAACCCACTCCATGGTCAAGGCCATCGACTGCAGATGTCTTCACCTAGATTGTCTGTGTCTCCGTTCCGCATGGTCTGCTTATTTTTTCATCCACCATCCACTGCTCGCTCCATCTTGCCATTTTTCTGCACACTTCCTCATGTTTTTCGGTGTTCAAAGCACACGTTTTGAGGTCACGCAAACCCAGAAGTGTCTAAACTCTTACAGAGTTGCGCGTTCACATGGAGAGTATCAAACTAAACACAGGTTCAATTCTTCTCAGCTATGTAACTTCACACAAAATCCCAAGCATGGCTGATGCTGGTCTAGATGTTAAGGTCGCAAAGCACTGCCCGATCAGAATTCAACTGTAGTTGCTAACCCCACCCCATCCTGCAGGCAGAGGCCGACTTGGCACTCGTAGCCAATCCCTGCGCTCGGTGGACAGCCGTAAACGAGAGGACTCTGATAAGACCCGCAGCGGACAGCAGTCATCCCAAACAGGTAAGAAGACAGGTGACATCAGCCTCCTCTGCAGCTTGGGGTCACACACACACATATACACACTTGCAACCGTTTCACTCACTAGTCCACATACAGGGGAGTAGACTGGATGTGTATGTGGCTATGGCCTTGTTTTTTTATGCTCCTGTCAGTGTGATTTATGTTTTGTTTGTCTTTGTCATGTGTATTATGGCATGGTTCATGGAGGAAAATCGAGATATCCACAAATCATGGACACCATTGCTTACAAGGAAGTTAAAAGCATTTTGAAAGGGTCGTAACCCCTTATAATGAAACAAACAAGAACAAGACACACCTTGCTTGAGGGTGGTGATGTATGATTTGCATGCTTCAGTATAAAAGACATATTGTACTAATATGATGTAATCCCTAGTATTTTGTCTGTACTGTGAGTACTGCATGAATGTCTTTCATTTTTACAGTTACACCGATATGAACCTGTCACTTCAAAATAAATACTATTTTCTTCTATTTCATTCCAATGTGCTACAAATCAGTAAATCCATAAATAGAGGCTGGGTCTTCATATTTAAATTGTACATCAAAAAAAAAAAAGTTTTTTCTATGAATCAGAAATTATATTCAAAAAATGCTGTGCATGATTTTACCAATTTTTATTTTACTTTTGGAAGCAGCATTAACAATACACAATTTTATGCACATTTCTAAACTAAATGGTGCACAAAAAAATTGTCTACTGATGGTTTCAGAGATAAAATAAAACACTCATGTATATGCATATTATTAAGTATGCTTATGCAGGGTGTTAGTATGAAAACTAAAACGTTTATTACCCCTAATGTTGTCAGAATAAGGTTAAATCGTTCCCTCCTTATCACTTTTCATTTTGACATTCAATATTGTTCTATTGGACATTCTTGATTCTCCATTTCATTCGACCTGATGGTTATGATGGTTATTTCCATTGGACAGCCATGATAGTCCATATTATCTATTGCACTGTCAAGACAACCAAGTGCTTCCTATTGGACATTTAATATGTTCCCATAACTTTGTGATTACAACATGATTCCTTGGCTTTCCCAGTTGCTCAGATATTAAAGTCTGATCTATTGGGTGAAATCCTTGTATATATGGCTGACTTACATATCCCAAAACTCAAAGCATGAACTTCTATTATGGGTAAATGCTGAGGATATGGAGTCAGCGACTAAATGGTTTAAGCTTCCCCTGCTAAATAAGGTGGCTAATCCCGCATGCTAATTAGTTTTGGCCCTTTTCCTACCCTTTCCTCTGCTCCCTACCCCATCCCCCTCCCCACTTCCCCTCATCCCTCTCAGTGGATCCTCCGTCGGGTGGGGAGTGGTCTGCGTGGAGCGCGTGTTCGACCACGTGCGGTGAGGGCTGGCAGAGCCGCACACGCTTATGTGTCTCCGTGCCGTACAGCACGCAGTGCAGCGGGCCGCTGCGTGAACAGAGACCCTGCAATAACACTGTTGTATGTCCAGGTAAGCACAGCCCACCTCAGGCCTCTCCTCACCCCCACCATCTTTCTTATCCACTTCCCATCACCCGACCCACCTCCACTCAAGTCCATTAGCTTTGCCCACTCACCCTCCAGCCGCTGCCCACCTGAGGCTAACTCTTCCTGGGCTTCCATGTACGGCTGTCCCCCCCCCCCCCTCTCAACCCTGGATGCTGGAGAGCTGTGGTAAGATGTTAATGGGTTCAAGTGCAGCATTGTCTGCTAACTCCCTATAGTTCCCACTGCATGTAGGATGGTCTCTCTCAATCTCTTTTCATTCTAGCATTTCAGCATCTCAGTGGGCCAGACAAAAGCGTTATTCAGATTATAATTTTTTTTAAATGTGTCTAGACAAGCACAATGTTGTAGTAAATGCTAATCACTTTATGCAGAAGAAAAAAATGATTTGACTTAACATTAAAATTTTACTTTTTGCACACTACTCTACCTGTAATTCTCTGTTCACACTGACAGCTGTTTTTGCTGTATTGTTGGTAGCTAGTAGCAAAGTCTCTTGGAATGCAAGTCACGTGGTGGTTCTATTTGCAATGCACATCCTGGCATGCAAGATCTAATCGAATGGGGAAAATCTAAAAATCTCTAAAACTGCTTGACAAACTTATTTCAAATTAGCAAAAAAAAAATTTGACGTGAACTGTCTTGTGAATGTTGTTTCTTGCACTCAGTTGATGTTGAAATGCATATATTTCTGGTTGGTCAATGCCAATGCAGATGTGCAGTCCTAAGCATGAGGTTTATGTGGGAAGCGGTATGTCTAAAAGTAACTGCAGTGCAAAGTGACTAACTAACGACTTTCATTACTAGAGCCGCCATATTGTGCATTGCAGATTTTCCAATTCATAGCAATATGAGTGAACCATCTTGGGTATCATACAGTCTTTCCTAGTAGGCGTTCCTGTCATAACATTGGCGGGCTATGTAAATGGCAATAGCTTCTGAACATCTGATCACAAATATGATATATTGCTGGTAAAAACAAGATGTTCTTCTGTTTGGACAAGGAATATGTTTTTTTGCTGCTAAAAATGAAGTAGAAAATGTTCGTAAAATTGCAGCAATACATCATATCATGAACAAGATGAACAATGATCAATGCATACTGCTCAATGTGCTCCAATGTCTTCACTCTTATTGGTAGTCATCCCATTACGTCACCTCTCATTAAACTTTTCTAAAAATGTTCTCATCCCAAACAGTGGCTTATGCCATCGGGAAATAGGCAACTCCTGTTTAAAATAAATTAATTCAAGTTGTTGTCAGTGTGAACCGCTCTTTAGTTTTGCCCTGGTGTGTTGTCGAGGTGCTTTTTTCTCTCTATAAATCATACCCTAGCCACTCTGATTACAGTACATGGGTCGTGGGATGAGTGGACTCCATGGAGCTTGTGTTCTTCAACGTGCGGCCGTGGGTACAGAGACCGTACCCGCTCCTGCAAGCAGCCACAATTTGGAGGAAACCCCTGCGACGGTCCGGAGAAACAGACCAAATTCTGCAACATTGCTGTATGCCCAGGTGATTTTTGGGGCTTTAAATACAGACTGTCTCATACAGATTTAATAACTTTCATCAAGCAGCACAATTAAATCCTAATATGAGGCACTGTAGAGAAGGAGATTGAAAGGAATCTTTGTGAAGTTCACAGCAAATGATGGTGATTAATAGAGGCTTTAAATCACTGCGGATTGGACTGGAGTTTGGCAACCCAAAGCTCCTTTCTCTTTCCCCTGCAATATATCTTCCAATAATGTCCCCTTATCATGCTCCACTTTCAGTTCTTTGTATCCTCTATCCTCAAATTTATAAAATTCTTCAGTTTCTTCTTATAACTTTGGCTTTTACTCTGTAGTGGATGGCGTGTGGAATGAGTGGTCCAGCTGGAGTTCCTGTTCCTCGTCCTGTTCAAATGGAACAATGCAGCGCACTCGGGAGTGTAATGGGCCCTCGTATGGGGGCCTGGAGTGTCAGGGCGAGTGGCGTCAGACAAGAGACTGCTTCCTCCGAGAGTGTCCTGTGGATGGCCAATGGCAGCTCTGGAGTTCTTGGGCTGGTTGTACCAAAACATGTGGTGGAGGAAGCCAGCAAAGACAGAGGGTGTGTTACGGTCCATTTTTTGGGGGGGAGCCATGCCCAGGGGACAGAGAGGAAGTTAGCCGTTGCAATGAGAAGAGATGTCCAGGTGAGACAATCGCATGGTTGTAACCAAAAGTCATTCTCTGCTAGGGGTGGTCAATATACTGGTAGACACAGTAAACTGGTTGAAATTTGACAACTGGTATACATTTTCAATTACCATCTCTATCGTGGCAGTGTTGTACATCACCTAAGTTTATCCTTTTCGTACATTTTTACGTTTTGACACGTTAAACTTTAGAGAGATTTTAAACCACTATAGCACTTTTGCAAAATGCAAAAGAGGTCTCAGTTTGATATTTGTGCACTGTTCTGACAGATGGTTTTATTTCTGAAAGACGTTTTTAATTAAAACCATCTGTCAGAACTGTGCGCATGTATTTAACTGAGATCTCTTTCATGTCTTATTGTGCCACCTGTCACAGCGTGTTATTTTTGCACTTTATTTCGCTCAAATGGTCGAATACACACAAAGTTATGTCAAAATGCCTGTCTTAAGTTAGAACATCCGTGATAGATCCGTGTATTAGGTCTTAAAGTGACAGTAGCCTAATATACCTGCTTCTTGTCTTCAGTAAAGTTGAGAACCTTTTACTTGTATTAGTTAGGCTAGAATAGTTTTTTGCTATGGCACTGAAATATTTGCATCTAAAATTGCATTGTAACAACCTTATTTGCAGCAACAATAACAATTGTGATATACACTGTTATCATGAAACACAATTACTCATTTTGGTTATATCGCCCACCCCTATTCTCTGCTATTTATAGACTTCACAAGAAGTATGTTGTAATTCTGTACCTTACTTGTTTCTTTGTTCACATGTTGTGGGATTGTTCAGGTTTTTGTGGTTTTTACTTGTTTGGTTTTATGCAGAGCCGCATGAAATCTGTGACGAGGAGAATTTCTCTAACGTAGTGTGGAAGAAAACTCCTGCAGGAGACACTGCAGCTGTCCGCTGCCCTCCGAATGCTGTAGGTAAGACATGACTCATGCAAACACGAACACACCAGAATAACTTCCTAAACAGTCATTACCCTCAAAGCTAGACTGAGACATTTTCAGGACCATGGACAGCTCCAAAAGCTTGGGTTAAAGAAAACCAACAAACATGCAGTATACAGTTTTTAACCAATCCTTGTTCAAAATCTGGTAATGATGACACATTTCTGTGATGCAGGACTAATTCTTCGGCGATGTTCGTTGGATGATGAGGGCATTGCCTACTGGGAGAACCCAACATACTTGAAATGTGTCTCAAATGACTACCGAAGTATCCAAACACTGGTAGGTGATCTCCAATCTAAGCTCTAATTAAGTTAAAACCAAGATGGTGTCTGCAAAGTTAAGGGTTTTTTTACCTACTCCAGACCAGAGATCACCTGTCCAAGGCTCAACGAGGGCTTGTGGGAGATGGGGTCTCTGAAGTCATGACCAAGCTGAGGGTGACGTCAAGTGATGGAACAAGCTACAGTGGAGACCTTCTGGCTATCATAGATGTACTGAAAAACATGACGGAGATATTTAGGAGGTCCTACTACAGCCCCAGTAATGCAGACATGAGGGTTAGTGAAGCGTTAGTTTTAAATAAAAGATTTGACCCCGAATGCCCCTGAATATTTCTCTGTCATGTGGTTTTGTTCACAGAATTTTGTGCAGTCAGTGAGTAACTTACTGATGGAAGAAAACAGGGACAGGTGGGAGGAAGCACAACTGGTGAGTCAGCCTTCACACTCTCTCTCTCTCCATGTCTCTGTCATTCATTTATTCACTCATTCATTCTTCTACTCACTCATTCATCATTCTCTCATTCCTTCTTTTAATTTCGGAATCTTCTCACTCTCTTTCATTTAGTAATTATGCAAGGTTCAGCTGGTTTTAAAGGTGATTAATTGGCCAATTCTCTTCTCTTCGCTGCACATCTTTCATTCAGCTGTTTGTCTCCTGCTGTTTAGTTAGATCATTAGTTAGTTTACAATTTATGTCTTAACGCAAGCTTCAGTTTGCATTCTGAAGGAAGGATATCATTAAGCTTGTGCAGCAGCAGCAGCCGTTATTTTTAGAAAAATATATTTATAACAATAACATTTAAAATGCACTTACAGAATCACATATTGACAAACAAATATTTTAACATTAAGCCCTGATTTTCTTTCTGGCAGCTGGGGCCCAACGTTAAGGAGCTTTTTCGTGTAGTGGAGGACTTTTTGGACGTCATCAGTCTCCGCATGAAGGACTTCCAGGATACTTATGAGGTCACCGACAATCTGGGTCAGTTTCCACTGACATTTAACTTGTTTACACCCTTGCAATAATGTCAGAGGGTGATGGTCATCTTCTTAAATGGTTGAATGTTTGGGAAGGCAGCCTAGAAGTTGCAGCTACAAACCCAAGAAAGAACAGGAGAACATGAACCAAATTACATTGAAAAATAATTAACCATCTGATGCATGGTGTCCAGTACTCTGGAAAGGTCTTTTAAAAGCCATTTCTAACCATTCAGGATGTAATGTATATAAATCTTCATGGGTGATTACCTATGACCCTTTCTCGTAGTTCTAAATGGCTGTCATTGTCATCTCTTTTTGTGTTTGCACTTTTAGTTATAACACTATAAATTCACCAAATAAATATATAAATTTATAAATTAATAATTAAATGAATATATATATATATATATATTCATTTAATTATTAATTTATATATATGCCATATATATAAATATATATATACATTTTTACCTTTTTGATTAATTGTTTAATTAAAAACACTTTTGGCTTTTGATGGTGCTGAAACAGACCAATTGAAATCACCCCCAACTCTATTATTCACTCACACCTTGAACATTAGAAAACCATAATACACAATATCCCTTTGAAAATGCCGAACAGTCCCTGAGCTATGAATGAGTATGTCCCTGATATACTGCTCACACAGATTTACAAATATGTATAGTTCTATGCATTTCTATAGCTTTGGAATCACATTTTAAACCACAAACATCTCTCCTGCACAACGATGACAATGGTTTACTCAGCACCCAGGTTCGTAAAAACAGCAGGAAGATGAACCTTCATGGTCATACGTTGTGGGCCGCAACTAGCAGAGTTTAAAAGGGATTGTGAGAGGTTCTGTTTACCTCTGAATCACTGAGCTGCCCATGAGCTCAGATTCTCCCATTGTGACAACACCTGTCCTACAGCAATGACCTATCAGTCCCACACAAAGCTTTAAGTTGCAGATATATGTATACATAACACCACACATTCATCAACAGATGGAAAATTCTGCACAAGAACTTGAACACAAGAACATGAGTGGTACTGTATAGAGTTAGTTTCTTTTTCACTAAGTAATTTAATGTATCTGCTCCAAACTGGATTTGGATGCAACAATGTGATGTCAGGTCCATGGCCTAAAACAGTTAAATTGTAAAATATAACCATTTCAAAGAACTGTTTTTGAATTTAAAGGGGTGGTTCACTGTTTTTTTTCTAGGCTTCATTGTGTTTATGGGGTGCAGTCTAACATGTGTTAATGCTTTGTTTAAAAAAACCCCACATAATTTACCTTTATTCCACACCGCTCTGTCCCTTTTCTGAGAAACGGGCTGATCTTTTCCTGTTTTTATGAAGCCCCGCCCTCAGAAATAGGCAATGGGCTCTGATTGGTTAGCTAGCCCAGTGTGTTGTGATTGGCTCAACTGTCTCTAGTGCGTGTCTAAAAGTCCCACCCCTCACCTCAGCGGCATGTGCTCCGGTTGTATTGTAAACAACGCTTATCAGTTTGAGCCCGATTGAGAAGCAGAGGATATTATTGAAGAGGATCGTGCAGAACCTGTGCAAGCACGGCTTTTAATGGAATGCATATGTTTTTTGTTTGTTGTGGTCTCATACTTTTAGATACGCTGTTATTTGATAACGCTTCTCATATCTATGTGAAAATAAGTGTATAAATGGAACAGTTCATTGTTGGAGCTGAGCTGGTGATCTGAATGAGAGAGAGAGAGAGAGAGAGAGAGAGAGAGAGAGAGAGATGCAGAGCGTGTGCAGAGCAGGGCAACGCCAGGAACAGGATTAAAAACTGCTGCTTTAGAACATGGATTTTGAAACTTGTGAATCCATTAGAATCGTTAGAAGACAGAATCGCGATTCATATATGAATAGATTTTTAAGTGCACCTCTAGTTTTCTCTTCCTCTTCTCTAAAGCAGTGCAGGCCTCACCCCCTTTGCTGCCTTTTCCCGAGGGCAGGGTTTATCTGCATCACAAACCCGGGAAGTAACTTGTAGTCCCTATACCAGCCGTTTTTGTAGATATTAAACTGCCAGAATTTGAAAAGACCGAACTTTCAGTTTCGTAACTTTGCAGATATTGTTTATGCTCAAACAGCAACATTACACACTAACTAACGTTAAAAAAGTGAAATCGCAATGAACCACCCCTTTAATATATTTTAAAATGTAATTTATTCCTGTAATGATGAACCTGAATTTTTCATTACTCCAGTCTTCAGTGTCACATGACCCTTCAGAAATCATTCTAATATGCTGATTTGTATGCATTTCTGATTATCAGTGTTGAAAAAAGTTGAGCTGCTTAATATTTTTGTGTATATTCACTTTTTCAGTATTTTATGATGAATAGACACTTCAAAATATATATATTTTTTATTTAAAAGCATTTATTTGAAATATAATTCCTTGCTGTGTCCAAAAAAAAAACTCTGTATTTGATTAGAATAAAAACACCATGTCTAACATATAATTATATCAACCCTGTAAACACAAGTTCTAAAGCTGAGATGAATTAGTTGGTTTCTTGGTTAGTTTGAAAGTCTTGAAATACAAGAAGTGCAAATTTATGTATAACTCATAAGTAAAACCATCAGTATGTAAATTGTTCCATTACATTGATTTGAAAAGTACAAATGGCTTTATGAAAGATTTACACAGATTTATTTTTCGGACCCATAAATAAAAATGGGTCTTTTACATGTTTTGGAAATTCTTTCAGTGATTAAAATGCTGTCGTTGTGAAGTGGTACAGAGAATATGGCTGGCAGCAGAAGGCTGGGATCATAAGAGAATGAAAGCGTTTGAGCTAAGAGAGTTTGTATGGGGGAGTCGTGTGACAGCATGACATTTTCTCTAGTTGAGATGTGATCGTTGTGCAGTGAGTCAGGATATTGGTGTTGCCATGGATCTTACAGTTCCCTCTGGATTCTCCCTCCAGTGTTGAGTATTCACAAGCGGCCTGTCGCAGGAAATGCAGATATCACTTTCCCCATGAAGGGGTGGAGGGGGATGGTGGACTGGGCTCGCAACTCTGAGGACAAAGTCAGAGTGGCTAAAGACATCCTGGTCACTGGAAAACCAGGTAAGAAACAAAGTCTCACACAACTATACACATTTGCGTGTAAGCACTAATAGTAGTACACATGCTGCAGACACAGAGCCTTGGTGCTCATGAGAAGCACAGGTTTGAATCTGGCTTGCATTGTATGTTCATCTAAGACACTTTGAAATTCATTTTATTTTTTTCAAAATTCCATTTATTATTATTTTTAATAATAGTTTTTTTTCCAGATTCTATTTTTTAAATCCTTTTAAAGTCTAATCCTTTAAAATGTAATCAATAGAAAATCAAATTTAGCAATTAATTCACAGTAAAATATTCTAAAACATTTTTTTGTGTTGCACATCTGTAATGAATCGGTCCACTGAAGGTGAGCGTAGTGAAGAACCCATGTGCAGTTTATTTACAGACGTGATCCAAAATACAAACAAACCAAGACAAAAACTTGATGAGGCATGAACAGACTTGACGAGGCACAAACAGACTAGACTCACCGACAGCGGGTTACAACTTCAATACACGACGAGAGACAATGGCAACATGATGGCTACTTATAGCAAACAATACAGGTCACAATGACAAGAACAAACCAATGGGAAGCAAGACACATGACTAGGACTACCAATCAGAAAATGACACACACAAGGCAGAGATACATGAGGGCAAGGGAAGCATGACACTGACAGCATGAAACAATTACAAAATAAAAAGACATGGAAAACATGAACATGAAACAAACCCAAACCCCACATTACATATCCCCCCTCTAAGGGTGGCTCCAGACGCCCAAACAAACACAAATAAAACCCAACAAGTCCAGGAGGGTGGTGGAGTGGAGGCGGAACGGAGAGCAAGGCCCATGAAGCGGAACAGGCAGAGCAGGGAGCCATGGCGGAGCAGGCAGACTGGGGAGCAATGGCGGAGCAGGCAGAGCGGGGGGCCATGGCGGAGCAGGCAGAGCGGGGGGCCATGGCGGTGCAGGCAGAGCGGGGGGCCATGGCGGTGCAGGCAGAGCGGGGGGCCATGGCGGTGCAGGCAGAGCGGGGGGCCATGGCGGTGCAGGCAGAGCGGGGGGCCATGGCGGTGCAGGCAGAGCGGGGGGCCATGGCGGTGCAGGCAGAGCGGGCGGCCATGGCGGTGCAGGCAGAGCGGGCGGCCATGGCGGTGCAGGCAGAGCAGGGCGGCCGGGTGATGACGGCAGAGCAGGAAGCCATGGTGGAGCAGAGACATGGACAGACCACTTGACTGTAACGGAGCAAGCAGATAGTTCTTGAATGGCCTCCTTGGCCATGGCAGGACAGACAGTGAGTTCGTGAACGGCCTGTGACGTGAGCAGGCTTTGGTTTGGCAGGCATGAAGTGAGCGGACCCTGGCTTGGCAGACGTGACATGAACAGACTGGCTTGACAGACGTGACGTGAGCAGACTGTGGCTCTGGTTTAGTGCTGTGTACCTTCTCCACGACACCCACAGTGAAAGCAGATCCCCTCAACCGCAGAGCAAAGTCTATATACTCGGCAAAGGACCAGTGAACCTTTCCCCCAGGAAGCTGGGAGCAAATGGGCTTGTTTAATCCATGACGGATTTGAGCGCCACATCATTAAAATCCACATGGTTAGAAAGTTCAAGAAACTCAACAACATAGTCCTCAATAGCCTGATCACCTTGACGAAGGCGGAGGAGACGAACAATTGCTGAGTTCTTGTGCCCTTGTCGTGTATTCTGTAATGAATCAGTCCACTGAAGGCGAGCGTAGTGAAGAACCCAAGTGCAGTTTATTTACAAGTGATTCAAACATCCAAACAATAATCCGAGACTTGACTTGACAGGAACAGACTTGACTAGGCATGAACAGACTTGACGAGGCATGAACAGACTTGACGAGGCATGAACAGACTAGACTCACCGACAGCGGGTTACAACATCAATACACGACGAGAGACAATGGCAACATGATGGCTACTTATAGCAAACAATACAGGTCACATGACAAGAACAAACCAATGGGAAACAAGACA